CTCTGCTGCTGCTGGGAGAAAACCAGCTGGTTACTGCCAGAGTTGGGGGCATCTTGGGCACTGTTGGAAGTGGAAGGCAGACATCCAGCAGTGGAAAAATCACCTCTTGAACACCTGCAGCCTGGTCATGGTCAGGAGTCACCCACTGGCTGTGCCGGCCTCCCCGTGCTCTCTGCAAGGCAGCTTTTCCTGCCCCGTCCCTGGGAGATCGGTGATGTCCACAGTACTGAGAACAGGTGGATCTGGTTCTTCAGGCCGGCTGGGATGGTGCCTACCAATGCAGGCAGGGATGCTCAGAGGAGCTCACCAAGCACCCAGTACCCTGCCTGGGTCACCTCTCATGGAGTCAACCCTGTGGCCATGATCTGGGTGAGGTGACCAGGTCCTGGCGCACTGTACTCCTGCTGGCCACAGCCTTCTTGCTGATGAGCAACTACAGCACTCCCGTTCACCCACAGCCACCCCATGGCGATGTCCTCTCCTCAGCCCCACAGCAGCTGGTGGGACAGACTGCCTTGGCCAAGTGCCCCCAGCTCTGAGAGAGCCAGGAGGTACCGTACGCTGCCCATACCTTAGCTCCAGACATGTCCTCAGCCCCTGGGTTCTCCCACCCACTCCAACAAGATGCAGAGTTACCGAGCTCTGTCTCGCTTTTGCCCGGCCCTCTTCCAGTGATTTGTGGTCCCCATTGCCCTCCTGCCAGTCTGCAGGGCAAGTGCTCCCTGAAGAGGGCCAGATACTGTCACCTACTTCTCTCTGCTCCACAGAGCTGCTGCTTCTTGCAGGTCCCCAACATGTCCATACAGCACAACGGGAGAAGGACGAGCTCTTCCAGCCTGCCAGGAGCAGGCAGCTGAGACCACATTCTCCACCACCACCCAGCAGTGGTTTTACCAGCACCCTGTAAATCCCTGGGGCTTTGTCACCGCATCAGAAACAAGGACAAAACCAAAAGCAGTAGCCAGGATGCCACAGGTCTCAGGCAGCAGATGTGTCTGGCAGAATGTGGTGAGGGAACACCTTGCAGCTGACCCTATGCAGAGCTAGCAGGGTGCTGGGAGGAGCACGGTGAGAGCCTCCTCATGACAACATCAGCCCCGTGAGCCCACATCCCATCAAGGAGCAATGAGATGAGGCAGTATCATCATCCAAGCAACCCCCAACCGCTCCTCTCCAAAATTAGGGACTCCTTTTTCTCTTTGTGGGCTGGGAAGCAGATTTCCTCTTTAGCTCCAGCTTGGAGACACCCATGCACCCACCACCCTGCTCCCTGAGCTGCCCAGCCAAGCCCAGCCTGGCAATCAGTTGTAGCCAGAGACACCCAGGGCCCATGAGCCCACCACACCCTTGGGTAAGAAGTGCCCTGGGGCTGGGCTTCAAGGGATTCAAAGCCCTGCTGGTTTTCCCAGAAGGCACTATGGAAGGATCTGAGGAAGTTTAAGGGTGGACAAAGCTTTCAGGGTGAGGAGGGAAGGATATGACTCACCACAGATTTGGGGCTCCCACAGCTCCAGGCTTGCTTCCTGAACGAAGAGGATCTGAAACCTTTTTTGAGTGCATGACAGGGGCTTCTTCCCCTCCCAAACAACCCCACAGCTATCTTTTTACCACTCTTATGACAGTAGACCAGGACACAGTAGACCACAAACCAAAAGACATGCTCAAAAAACCCCACTCTGGCTCCATCCCTCTCCAAGCCACAGGAGACACCAAACTTGGTGCTTGGCACCGACTGAATACTGCTTTTCTTTTGACCTCAGGAAAAGCTGTAGCCTTGAAGAGGACAAACTCCATGCCCCAGCCAGCTTGCTCCCTTCAAGGCTGAGCAAGAGGAACCAGGGCTGAGCTCCTCCAAATCTCAACCACAGCAGCAGCAGGAGGAACAGCCTCCCAGAGAAGGGCTCTTCCACAACTCACTCGTAAAGCGTATTTAAGGGCGAACACAGCAAGACTGCAGCATTTTCAGGTTTAATAGCAAGCCTGCACTCATCGGCACCAGCTTAGATGCGGGGCATCAGAGGCGAGAAGTGGGCGAGTACATAAAATAGCAGAGGTGGATGTGACGCGCAGCTGGGCACAACAACAGGACTAAAGCCCTAAGTGATGTGATCTGCAAGAAGCTAAATGCGCTGTGAATAAAGGGAGCCTGCAGCTAGTATTACAGCCTCGCCTGGCGAGGCTATTTTTGCTTAGATTGCCAAAATGTAATTACAACTAAATCCCCCCTAACAAATACCAGAGAGCAGCAGGGGAGAGTTGTATTTAAAAGGAATTTTAAGTAGCAGCCATAGTAATACCTGATCGCAGTGGGGAAAACAAACTATGCTTGGAAAAGAGCTGGAGACAAACAAGTGGCAAGAGCAGGAACAGGACCGTGGGGTCTTGAGAAACAGAGAAAGGGAGGCCACCACTGCTCTGCTCCCTGCCCAGCCAGGTGCCAGCAGCCACAAACCACCTGACCATGGTGAGCAGTTGTTGCTGTCAGTGCACTGGATGCTTCTAGAGACAGGCTAGGATCGACACCGTCAACACAGAAAACAAACCCTTCAGAAGACTGAATATTTTAAACTGTTTTCTCTGCCAGCCCTGGCTGCTTTCAGTCTAGGCTTCAATAATAACACGAGGAATTTGTAATTGGAGTCATGAGGCTGAAAGTCTCCAAGGCTGGTAATTGTCCCAGACATGGCTGCTGGTTCTGCAGTCGCGACCAAATTGGCCCAAGCAGTCCCTTCTCCCGAGGGATGGCGAGAGCAGGAGAGGTGCCCCATCTCTGGCCGCAGCCTCCCCTCCTGGGCCCGATGTGAAGGCTCTGTCAGAAATGAGAGGCAATTGTGCGATTCCCCAGGGAAAAGGGGAAAAGGCTGGAGATGTTAATGAGTACAATTAGCGTCGTAGCCAAGCAGAATCAGAGGAAATAATTAGATCCTATTGTTTTTCCTGTGGTGTCCGAATTGCAGCTAGGCTGGCTTTCCAGGCAACAACCCAGCATAGGTCCAGCCTCACCTTGGAGGTGAGACAGGAGACAGGGGGTCACTGGCAGCCCCGCTTCTGGTCACAGCTCTCACACAGCCTGGGCCATCACTTTTTTCTGCTGCACCCCCCAAGAGTCCTGTCTCCAGATGGCTGAAGACTCACGGACCTCACCACACGGCTCTGCATTCAGCCTTCCCTCAGTCCCAAGCAGGGCAGTGCTGCCGGCCCTGCACCGAGACAGCCAGAACCAAGGCAACTAAGTGACACCAAACATCTCTATTTTAAGAGAAGCTCCCATCCCTCTCCCCAGCCAGTGTACTGCTAACCAGGGAGTACAACGAAGGGGCAGAGACAAAGCAAACACCTCATTTTTTAAGCAAGATGTCACATGTCTGATGCCTCTGCCCATGTAATTCCACAAATAAAGTGAAGTTTGACCACCACTGGGGTGCTTTGCTGCTTCATGTAGGTGGGCAGCTCAGGGGAAGACACTCTACAGAGCTGGCAGAAGCAGGCCTGGGGTCTTACCACAGCCTAGAGAAATACCATTTATATACCAAATATATATCAACATAACACCAGAAGACAATTTTTAGACAGAGAAAAAAAAATATATAAAAAAAAAGAGAGACTGAAAGAAACAAAGAGACCCAATAATTTATTGGCAGAGCTGAAAGGGGGCATTTGAAAACCACAGGGCTGACTCTCAACTGGGAAGTCCCTCCCAGCTGCAGAGAGATTTATAATACTGGTATCCCTCAGCAAAAGGCTCTGACACCGAGGCAGAATCCCAGAGATCCTGCATGCCATGTAGAGAAAGAGAGGAAAGTGCTGCAAGATGCGGCCCCAAGGGCACGCTGCTAATTGAAAGGTTGGCCTCCCGCCCCACTGTTAAAAAAAAAAGTTTGTGTATGACAAAATCGGCCCCTATTGTCACCGCTGCTGGAGGGCTTCAGATGGATCCTTCCTCCAAGGAGGAGTGTGAGAGAGTGGCCCATGAGTCCCTTCAGAGGTCGGAGGGCACTGGTGGAGACCTCTCAGTGCTTTCAACACGGAGAGAGGAGCTTAGTGCCAACTCTTGTTCTCACAATGTGATTTTTGTGTTTCGAAAGCTTGAATTATCCCTGGAAAACAGAGGGAAGAAGGAGGTTAAAGGCGTGCATTCCTTCAGATCACAGTAACCCCCCCATTCCCCCCACCATAGCTACCAGAGTTGCCATCTCAGTATGTCACTCAAATCAAGGCTTGTTAAACCTCTCAAGCAGATCTGCTTTCTAACTAGAGACTTTTCACGTAAGTCAACTCGCTGCTCCAGAACACTTGGAATATGGGGAGAACCTGGTTCACCCCCATTCATCAGGCAACAAAAAGGGTCCTCTCATGTGAGCAGAGCACCTGAGACTCTGGAAACTTCCCTGACAAATTTTGGCATTTAATTGACTTGCAAGATTTCTTCCTTCCCAAAACATTTGTCCTCAGGGATTCTGTCTGGAGCACAAATATACCATCAGTCCAGCCTTGTCCTGCCTCTGTCCCTCATAGTTAGATTCCTTTTGTCATGCTGTCAACAAGTTTAACTTTCTGATCTCTCCTACCTTAAAAGAATCCCACATGAAAATGATGTTTCCCTCAAGTTTAAAGAGAAAAGTTTCTTCATCAGCTTTCACTCACATGAGTACAGCCACGTGAGCTGCAGGGGCTAGTGATAAACAAAGGACCACTGGTCCACAACCTTTGTTTGTATGGTCTTGTGACACGTGGCAGCAGTTGAAGATGGGGCAGGTTACAGAAACCTGTGCTAACGCTGCTCTCCTGTGAGCAGCAGCAACAGGCAAAGCATATTTACACATTAACAGAACGGTGGTTGTTTTTCTGAACTCAAACGGAAATAAATGAGATCACAATTATTTTGAGAGGACAGGTTTGGCAGCTCTTCTCATTACGGGGACAGGGCAGTAAGTCACCCAAACCGAACACGTAGGGATGTCCCAGCACATACCACAGCAAACTGGCAGAGCTGTGCTGAAGAGCCTGCAACGTGCTCTGCAGGATGGTAAAATCCTGCTTAAACCCTTGAGCTTGCATCGTGTGCTGCTAAGAGCTGCATGGTAGCTGTAGCTGTGACAGTGCAGCACAGTGCATGCTGGAACACCTCCAGGAGGCAGGCTGGAGAGCCGCAGGAGCAGAAGGAAGTGAAAAAATCCACTCTTCAGAGAGTTAAACAAGTTACTCCACTACTACATGATGGCAAAAACCATACTGGAGGCCATCTGCAGAAGACTGGGGCTCACCTTTGCACCTGCCAGGAAAGCAGGCTGTGTTGTCATTTGGGAGCGTGTGATCCAGGATTCATTAACGGGATTTCAGTTAATTTGCAACAATGGTTTGGCTTTTTAACCCATCCTGTACTTTCACCCGTGCCATCTACCTCAGAAGGACAGCACAAGTTGGTTACCTCTTTCTCAGATAGGTTTCTGTATTTCCTCTCCTTTTGCCTTTACCGGGGTGCCCCAGGTCCTCTGCTCATCACTACTCTCAGTGTAGGTAACCCAACCCAGCTGAGAGCTAAATCAGCTCTGTCACTGTTTTCCCATACACCTGGCATGTTTACTGTCTCCTGAGACTGGTATTCCATGAGGTGAGCCAGTTTCCTCTTTGGGAAGGTCACCTGAATGTCGTCTAACAATAACAACACTACCAGGTGTAACATTTTGTAACGCTTGATCCTCACAAAAAAGCCAAATCAGTGAGGAAAAACAGGTATCATTTCCACTCATGGCTTCAGAGCAAGCTAAGAGCAAGCTATGAGAACACTGCTTGCCCAAAGCTGTGGAGGGAGGTTTTGGGGATCCCCAGCAACCCCTTGGAGCTTGGCTGTGTTGGAGCAGCTACGTACCACCACGGAGTGGGAACTGGGCTGAGTAAGGCCTCCTTCCAGCGGGTTCCTCTGCTCTTGCACTTGGCAATGCAGCAATCCCACTTGGCTACAGCCAAACACACCTCTCCTTGCCAGGCCTCCTGCCAGCCCTTTGGAAGGAAAGGGCCTGCCATCAGGGAAGTGGGCGCTGGAGAGGAAAAACAATTGGAGCTGCGAGGCTCACAACAGCCCTGAGCTCACCTTGCCTATCTTCTCTGCACGCAGTCGGCTGCCACTACCAGGAGTAGCAGGTGTTTTCATCTCATTAGCCACAGCATTATTAGTTGGAAATACAGTAGCTACTGTGTGTCCTTCCTGAGCAAGCTTTTACTTACAGACCGATTTATTCTGCTCCAGCCCACTTTCAAGAGCAAAGGCACGTACGCCAAGCTCCAGGAGCCTCTCTCAGTGTCCATCACATGTATGTGCTGAGCGTTCATTCACCACTCCATACATGCTTACAGTCAACCCTAGGCAACAGATCCAGGCTAAAGACATACCTCTCAGCCTCCTGGGACCTGGTCTGGGTACAGGTGCCTTGCACAGAGGAAGGACACGTTAACAAAATAGCACACAGCATCACAACTGAAAATGCTCCATGAATGGAGACCACAGTCAACACTGGTGTCTTTGGCCCAAAAAAAATAAATAAAAAAAATTTGTTTTGATCTTTGGGAAAGAGCCAATAGCAGAATGGGCCCACCACGAGGCCCAGCAGGCAGAAGAACATGCCAGCCTGCGGAAAGAGGGTTGGAAGCTGAGAGGTATGCCATGAAGTCACATAGGAAGAAAGATGAGGCCCTACCCTGGGTGTGACAGAGGGAGGGGGAGCGTTCGATCAGCGGCCACTGCTGTTCACCAGGCCATGAAACTCCTCCCAGGCCCTGGCAAGCCAGAGGGAAAAAAAAAAAATATATAAAAATGAAACAAAACTGAAAAAAATCCCACAGTACTTCAGATCAAAGGCTTCTTAACTTTTAACGAGAGCAGAAACATTCAATGGCGTTTGAAAGGCACTTGTCTTCAGAGAGCAAGGCAATATTCTCTGATAGCCCTGGTGGATAGAAGCATCTTTAAAACCCAGCCAAACATCTGACAGCGCCAGGCAGCTTTAACGTTCTGCACAGACATGAAGCGTTCCCACTGGCTGCTGGTGATATAGCTACATTAATACCCAGAGACAGGTATGACCTTCCCAGTCACAAATGGAATATCCATTTCCCATTGCTAATAAACCAGCCAACGTTACGTCCTTCTGGAGGATTATCATGCTCCTTGGCTGGTTAAACTCAGTCAGTTATTGGCCTCATGCTTCACCACATACTTGCATATGTAGCAATCCCCCCCCAAAACGGGCTTCTTTTTATGCCATGCGGCTTAGTTATGAAATTCTTCGATCAGGCAGTGGAATCCAATTGTTATTAGAAAGTCTCATTTCCTATTGTAAACCCGCATTGTTAAGGACGACCCAGTAAAAACACTGCAGCTATGTGAATCGAAAACGTTTTCAGGTAAGTTAGAGGGACGGGCCTAACACTGCATTCCCTGGTGGAGAATGTTACTGACGGACGAAGCCAGCAGACTGAAAAATTGCTGTCTATTTGACGAAGGCAGCACACTGAAAGCCCTCTCAGGGAAAAGATGCTGAGGTTAATGCGAGCATGACTATTATCTTCTGGGATCAAAGAACCTCACAGTTCTCTAAGCCCAGCAAAACAACGCTGGTGCCTATAGCACATGCCGAGCCATTTACCGAACCCAGGGAGTCCCTCAGACCTGGGGGGACCTTAAAGGGAACCCAGGTTGGTTATAAATCCAGACCACCTTGCATATTTTGTTGCTGGTACTTAACAGCTACCTCACATCTTGTTTTCTGCATTGCCTCATCAGGCCAGTGCAACACAACAGGAGACCAGAAATGGAAATCTGGTATCAGCCAGCATCTGCGCCAAAACCAGACCACCAGCCTTGCTCTTACCTGAGCCTCACAGAGTCAAGCTCCCAGCCAGCATTCACAAGAGCAGCTCAGGTATCAAGTGCTCTTTCCCAGCAAAGTCACAGCCCAAATAAACACGGAGTATACTGGCAGAGTGCCTGTCACGTGCGCTCTGCAAGGCTGTACAGCACACGCATCAGGAACCCAACAAAGAGAGCACAAGCAAGAAGCTGGTCACTGTAGCGTACAGCTTGGAATTCATGATGCTGCCCTCTCAGACCACAGGACAGCAAATCCCTCTTTTGGAAGCGCTGAAGATGAAAATCTAAAGATCACCTACTTGGGCACCACCAACAGAAGCTTGGTGAGTGGCAAAACACTCCAGTTCTTCCCAGTTCAGTAATGCCTTGACAAAACTTTTAAGCAGCAACTACATCTCCACAGCCATCACCAACGTCCTCATCTACTGCTGGCTACGCGTTCTCCTCAGTTTCCTTCCACCTCGAAATCCTCCCAACCTCATTGACTCGGATGGACAGGCAAGTAACAGTCACCCATGGGAGTCCCAAAGCTACATGGAATATTTACCTGACCCTCAGAAAAAAGCCCCTGAAGCCAAAAGAAACGTGCGGGATGAAGACAGCAAAGGGTGCTGCAGATGGAACAGGACAGCACACAGGAGACAGCTGCGGTGCATTAATACGTCAAGTCAGATCTTCAACCAACCAGGGTACAGCAGTGTGCTGCCCAGAGGAGAGAGACCCACAAGCAGCTCATTCTAAGCAAGGCAGCAGCACAGAAGCCCCTAAATGGGAACTTTCCTTTCCAAGTCTCCCCAGACACAGCACCCTTCAAAAGCCAAGAAGTCTTCCAGAGAAAACTGCCCACGTCACCCAGTCAGCACCCGGCACTATACACTGTGGGTACAACTGCCTCTCTCCAGAAAAAAGTCAGGGGAAGAGTAACTCTGGATCTAAAGCCCTCTCAGCTGCTGAACACAGGCTGGAAAGCTACACACATCTCCAGCCTTGTCAAAGAGTCTCTAACCTTCACGTCTGCCCTCCAACCTCCCGTGCCTTGTATTTCTACCACATTTCCATCACCCGTCATCGTATCTTCTCTCTTTCCTCTCCCACAGTTCTCCCCAAACTCCTAACTTCTGTTCTCCACAGAAGGGACACAAGGGCAGATTATTTGTCAACATAATCAATAATTTATTACCCTTTCCAAACCAAGGAGTTCCCTGTTCCAACATTCCAATAACATCACAC